GAAACATCATAATGATTAGCCCTTTGGTCACCCAGTACGATGAAATTGAGCTTTCGTGGGATTCAACCGGTGCATCATTAAGAGACCCCCTACATGCGGAACTTTTCCTATTCTATAGGCTAAAAGGAAGCATGGATATTCTATCATAACGAAGGGTAGATCCTACATCTATCGATCGAAAATAAATTTCTCTTTGTCTTGCGTGTCATCGTGTATCTAAGAACGAGCGAATTATTATTTCGAAATGGAAAATGTCAAAGGTATATCTTAATTCGAAATAAAACAACGATATCCAACAATAATAATAATTACTTATTGTTCACGTCAAAACAATTTTCAAGCATTTTTAAACACGAACGAGTTTGCCACATAGGCATAGTTACTTTCTTGACACCGTGTATAATCGATGTGGTAAACCACCGACAACTTCAGGAGAGGTAGCAGTGGAGGGATCACGCTACATTACGTTCCATTATCTCACATTCGCTTTTTCAAAGAGGACATAAGAGCGCAGGACCGTACACAAAGGTACGTACCGCCCGAGGAATTAAAACTCGTTCCATCCTCTTCTACGTTCTTTCTCTTTCTATCACTCTTTACTTCCCCTCCACCCCCAGCCCAACCACCACCACACCCCCACCGCCCAACCTATCCAACCCCACGAAATCCCCCTCTTTCACTTCGCTAACGTTCCTTGGACTTTCGTACATTCATCCACAAGCGTGAACCACCTACGCGCATCCGTTCGTCCTCGGATCTACCTACCGCCGCGGTTAACCGAGAATAAAGACGCTCCGGTGACAAAAGGAGCGTCTCTGAAGAGACAACAAAATATGATAAATGATCTGCGAAAAGAAAGAAAGAAAGAAAGAAAGAAAAAAAAAAAGGAAAAAAAAAATACAAGATATTAAGAGGGAGGTTAGGGAGAAAGGAGTCGCTTTTAGTTCCGTGTTTGCGACCGACTTTGTATTTGGATTATACGGAAGAGAGAAAGCGCGCGCGCGCGTGCGTGAGAGAGAGAGAGAGAGAGAGAGACAGAAAGGATTAGATGGACTTTCATAATTACGATCGTAAAACAATTTTCGTTTTTAAACGTACAATCGAACGTAACTCTTGATAGACAAGATTTCTTTTTGGAAAAATCATTTTTCAAATAAGATATAGCGATGCATCGGATTTATAATATTACATTACGATCATTCATTTTCCTTTGAAATTTCTCTCCTTCGTCATATCTTCGTATATCGAAAAATTCTTATTGGCTATTACATTGAGGAAAAAAGAAAGAAGGAAAAACACAAAAAAAAAGAAATAAAAAAAGAAAATAAATAAAAAGAAAAAAGAAAATAGAAAAAAGAAGCTATTACTTTTCGAAGGTAAAAAAAAGAAAAGAAAAAGAAATGAGAGAATAGATAACTATATAGGTATCAGACGAAAGAGAGAAGAAGGTTTATCATGAAGTTTCATTATGAAGTACGAAGGTTCACGAAGGTTCATCTCGTCTAGGCGTTCGCTCGGTTTTCCTTGAAAGTAAATGCCGAAGGTATCCGTTATCAAGGACCATGAGAAAAATTGAGTAGAATGCTTAAAGGTATTCCCTTCCTCCCTTCGCTATTCCCTATCCAGAGAAAATCCTCTCCCTTTTGGTTGAACCTTACTTCTTTGTGAAAGAAATTCTTACTCCCTACGCCAATGGCTCTCTCCCCCTCCTCCTCCTCCTCTCTCTCTCTCTCTCTCTCTCTCTCTCTCTTACAGCTTTTTATGGGGAACCAATAATGAACTTTTTTTCGGTATAAAACTTGATTTGTAGCTCTCTCTCTCTCTCTCTCTCTCTCTCTCTCTCTCTCTCTCTCTCTGTTTTTCTCTTGCTCTTGCTCTTTCTTTTTTTTCTTACTTTCAAGTAAACGCGTAACCATCGTCGTGTCCTCTCATCGTCGCGGTAGGGCGAAAAATGTCTCGTTTTCGCCTAGCTGATATCACTCGCGGCATTGCTCATTACTCACAGCGTCTTATCGCCTTTTACCCCCCATCGAGAGGCATCGTCGTGTCGGCTCCTTTCTGTATGTCCTTCCTTCTTCTACCACAAACCCACCTCTTTTACTTCCCTCTGACCTCTCATACTACTTCCCGCTCATCTCATTTTTTCCCTACTCTCTTTTTCCTTCTCACCCTCTATTTCACTCTCTCTCTCTCTCTCTCTTTCTCTCTCTCTCTCTTTCCCTCTTTCTCCCTTTCTCTCTTTTAAACTCTTGTTTAGAGCTCTCTCTCCATCGAGATTACATGCGACGATCGCGAACGAATTTTATTTCCCTTAGTCGTACCGAATTTCTCATTCCTTGTCACGTATCTACTTCGATAAGAGAGAACGAAAGTTTCGGGTGATTCTACTTACGCGTAGAATTTTATGCGAGTCTATCAACAAGAAGGAACTCATTTTAAAAATCTTTTATATTAGACATATTTTTTTTCCCTTTTTTATGTCTTTGTTTTTATTTTTCTTCGTTTTTTTTTTTTTTTTTTTTTTTTTTTTTTTTATAGAGAGATACGAATAAATCAATATTTTCAGGATGATAAACAGGTATTACCTCGAATCCACTGATATTTTCAATCGTTTAAAATCAATCGTATGTTAAACGCGCGCTGATGGTTCGTGATAATACGTGCGATATATCTCTTAATATTTCTCTATTTTTCGTTTGTATATTTTCCAATGTAATTTTCCGATGTAGTCCGAGAGGAGATCTGCTGATCGATTAAGTTTTCGAATAAAAATTTGAAATCTCGAGATAGAACAGATTAATCGTACGGATATTATCTAATCTGTTAAGTTAATCCTCATCTCATTAAACTGAATTGATTCTATTCAAATTAACGACGAAATAAAAAGAAGAAACGAAAATGTATCTAAATACGTCAGAATTCGTTTTACAAGAAGTTAACAATGTCCGATCGTTAAATGCCTCGAAGAAAATTCGATTATGTGACAACTTGGGAAAATGTACGATCGCAAATTCTTCCTTCGGTAATACGATCGCATTAATCATAGCCAGTGCAATCTCACTTTTAAGTTTTCTTCGAACTATCGAGCTTTCCCTACCATTTTCCTTATTCTCGACAGTGGAAAGCCGTGTTCACGATAGCATATAGATTCTTTATCCATCGTGTCCTTTTTTCCTTTACGAAGATAACCTTCGTTCCTTCATTCGTTCGTTCGTTCATTCGTTCGTTCGTTCATTCGTTCTTTTCTTTCTTTCTTTCTTTCTTTCTTCCTTCTTTTAGTCGAACCCCTCGATCGAGCATGTACTTCTCTTTCCGCAGATTCTTCTTTGGATTCGCAGCTTCCCTCTTAAACCACGCTACTCATTCAACTCCTATCTCTCCCCATTACCAGATTTCGTTAAAGCTCGCTTCGAATCCAGTCTCTTTCTGTCTCTCTCACTCTCTCTCCTTCTCTTTCTCACTTTACTTATACTTTTATTCTTTCTCATTTCTTTTCCTACTCCTTCGGTAGATCAATAATTGATAACTTTACTCGAACCCTACCAACACTCATTTTGTGGAATATTTTTTCAAATGTAATTATTATTCCTATCGCATTTATTTCTTTTATAATTATCAAAGGTAACAATAGTATAATATTATATTTATAGATATAGTCTCATATAATGGTTGAATTATCTCTTAAACATAGGAAAGAAATAAAAAAAGAAGGAAAAGAAATGAAATAAAAAGAAAAAGAAAAAAAATGTATTATCGAATGATTCTAAAAATATGATTTATTTCGATGATTTATTCATAGTGAACATTTAAATATCATATATATATATATCATTGAAGCCCCTCCCACCATCGCGATATCATTAACGAAATCGTAAATGTAATCCCGATCGAGTACGTTGAAATTCTTTTTTGTTTTTTTTCTTTTTTTTTTTTCTTTCGACCAGATTACCTACCGCAGTTTATATCTCGTAAAGATGGGCGCGGTAATTCCGGCTTTCTTCCGTGGGCCACACCACCGACTTCAAGATAGGAACCAATAAGTATCGAAGCTTGAGGGAAGGAGTAAAAAGGGAGTAGGAAAAGCAAGTTCTTCAGTATTTCTTATCAGCGAATTAACAGCCGTTGCTACCTCATCAGTGATAGCAGTCGTTGGCCTCCTTACTCCATCGAGCGACGATGATGAGCCAACGTCATGGGAAGTGGCAGGTGTCAATCGCTGTCTGTCTCATTCTCTGAAAAGGAGAAATTTATCCTTAAACGATTTCCATGTTATAATATCCAGATGATATCGTTTGTTAATTCGAAATTTCAACTGTAAACTGACGAATCCTGACAAATTTTTTCGATTAATAACAAAAATTTTTTCTATTCCCTTTTTCCTATTTTTTTCTTTTTTTCTTCTCATTTGATAAGTATCATTATAAAAATGGGTTTATATTAATTTCACATATGATCGTTAAGAATGAGATTTGTCGAATCTCAAATAATAGATATTGCATTTTAATATTTTCATTTAATTCGATGCACTCAGTAAATGTAGAAATTTCAATGGACAAAGTAGATATAATATAAATAAAGTGATTGTGTATGCGTTTGTAATTTTCTTCTTCAAGACCTATAACTTCTCCTTTTTAATTAAAGGTACTTTCTATTCATTCCGCAGACCGCCACGCCCGCTGCAAAAGTTACGGTAGGTCATTTCGTACTTTCCGAAAATGGTTGCTCACGCGAACTGCTTTTGCTGAAATCTTCCTTCATTGAATGCCTTTAGTTCGTTTCTTTAATCGATTTTAAACATTCATATATATATGTAAAAGTTTATTAATATTTACATAATCGAACATTGTCCGATAGCAAAGATTGTCCAGATTTTAATAGAAATTTTTAAGATTATTAAAAATTACATTATTTTTTTTTTTTTTTTAATAATTGATACAAAAAATTTTATAATTTATCAATGATGACAGATTGGAAATGATTAAAATCAGTGTCGAGTCTCTATCGATCGGGATTTTTTTTCTTTTTCTTTTTTTTTTTTTCTTTTATTATAATCGTCGATGTAAACTCTACAGAACTTGACATAAGAGCTAAGCAAACATTAATATGTAAATATACGTCTTAATGCGTATATGATCGATTGTTTGCCTTGTTAAAGCATATAGTACAATCCGGTCATATTACACATTGACTTTTCGACGCCGCCGATAGGTGCATATAAACGAGTGTTATTTTCACAATTACTATACATTACAATCTGATCTTTTTATTGACATTTGATATAGATCAAATAATAGTACGAATCCTATATCGAATTAAAGAACGAATAATTTTTTCTAACCATTTTCTTTCTCTTTCCTTTTTATTACTTTTTTTTTTTCTTTTTTTTTTCTTTTTATTTTTTTCTTTTTTTCTTTTTTTCCACGAACACAACAATCTCAACACATAGAATTATTATTTATTTAATAATATTTAAAATGATACGAAATAAAGTATACACGTACGTTTTATTTTCGATCATATTTGTGCCATTATTTAAATCAATGTTAAAATTGAATTAATTTAAATAAAATTCAATTCATTTATATTGACTTCTTGTAATTTAATTCTATTCTTGTAAGTAGAGTAACCGAGGTTCAGGAAAAGCGGAATGTAAAATTGCGATGAGCAAAAAAGGATACAAAGTGAAACGTAAGCGGAAAGACAAACGCGACGGTGAAACGTCGAAGGAAAAGAAAAAGGGTAAGAACGTAACGGCGGAGCGAAGGAAGGAAAAATCCGTTAACATTAATTCCACCGTTACTATCTCTCTTTCTCTCTCTCTCTCTCTCTCTCTCTTTCTCTCTTACTGTCTCTCTCTCTCTCTCTCTCTCTCTCTTACTCCTTGGAATCGGCTAAACCTTGGTCGCTTTTTACGTAGACGTAAAAAACGCGCGTAAAGGACACGGAATCGTAGGAAGCGAAGGAGAAACGAGAGAAACGAGAGAAAAAGAGAGAGAGAGAGAGAGAACTATCAAAAGATAGATAGAGAGAGGGAGTGAGAGATGGTCGAAGAGAAGCTAGAGGAGACGGACGCCTCCGCAAGAGTGATGGATGAACGTGGGCCGGTTTCTCGAGACGAGCTTCGCCAGACTGACATGTTTATACGAAGCCTGTTTGTAAAGGTGCCCGTAGCTTTGCTTTCGTGCCCCTCTTTTGTATATACGTCCTGGGCAAAGTGCGTTGCTTACGATTTATCCGGCGTGTACATCTACTCTTCGAACTTCCATATATACATATGTATATGTATGTATATATATATATATATATATATATATATATATACGTACATATATATATATATAGGATACATATATCTACCCCATTCTCAGCGCATCTTCAACGAACGTACCTCCAGCAAACACATCGAGTAGTCACCAAAAGGAGAAACGGATAAGAGGAACGACGCCGTATAGGGAGGTCCCATAAACGGGAAATAATATAGTTGTGTGATTAATTAAAGTTGACGTTTATCGTGACCACCTACGACGACAGCTTTCAAAACGCGAACGTCTTTCTGACAGGAGGCCTTACGACCATTGTCCCTTGCATCAACCCTTCGACGAACGAACGAATATACGTTCTTTTCTAACATTCAAGAGAGTTTTTGGTCTTGATCTCTCTTCTTACGTAGCATACTTTCGCTTGTATCATCGCAGATAAATAGGCATAATTAATTCTCCCGAAGATTAATTTTGATTTCTCTTTTAACTATTCTTTATATCATTCTCAATGAAATTGTATTATACTTTTCGTGAATAGATATTGTTATAATCGATTGTATTTAAATATTTTTCATGTATTCGAAAGAAAATATAAATATCGTCGATCACTTCTTATTATCATATATTAGATAATAAATCGTTATAAATTTGAATTGGAAAGAGAAGTCTTTTCGAGAAATCCTTTTGAAATCTTTAGAACGATAGAAAGAGGAGAAGAAGTAATCTTGAGGATGTAAAGTGAGAAAAGGTGAAAGTTAAGGAGATAGAGAGAAATAAAGAAATAGATAGAAAGAGAAAGACAGAGACAGAGACAGAGACAGAGAGAGAGAGAGAGAGAGAGAGAGAGAGAGAGAGAGAGAGAAAGCTAGAGATAGAGAAGGTGGATGCATCCACGTGATCTTGGATGCAGAATGATGTTTCCTTCGGTGGTATGGGATAAGGGACGTAGCGTACGGTAGCAACCCTCCTGTGACGTATGGCGTGTCGTCACGAAGTGTCACTTAAAGTACTGGATGAGAAAACGTTCGTGAGAGAGAAAGTAAAAAAGAAATATAGAGAGAAAGAGAGACGAAAAGCTGACGCCTCCTAAGACCGGCGGGAGCTGTCTGACGCCGCTGACGGCGCATTGTTGCCAGGGAAATCAGACGAAAAGGCGCGATAACTAACCGCATAATAAATGAAGTGTTCACAGTGGCGCGCGTCGCGATGCTCGCCAACGGTATAGTGAAACGTCGCCAACGTCGTCGTCGTCGTCGTCGTCGTCGTCGTCGTCTTCGTTCGTCGTAGTCGTAGTCGTAGTCGTTGTCGTCGTCATCGTTGTCGTTGTGACGGTGATACGTGAGGGATCGTCCTCGCTTTTCAGCTTCTTCTTTCGAACATACCAAATCCTCTTCTTACCCCTTCCTTTCTCTTTTACTTTCTTCTTTTCCTTCATCTTCTCTTTTTCACCGTTCGTTCGTTCGTTCGATTTTGGAGAAAATTTTGTCACAGGGCAAGAAAGAAAGGATACATTTTGACGATTAGAAAATCATCATTAATGTAAATATTTTTCAGATAAGACGAATAATTACATGTCATACGTATAACGTGAAATTTTTACTGCGACTTTTTCTTTCGACAAAAAAAAAAAAAGAAAAAAAAGAAAAAAAAAGAAAAAAAGAAAAAGCATCAAGAAGAAAACATCGAATTGATTTATTTTTATTAAATTTAACACATTTACAGTAATCAAGTATCTAATGATTAAATTGTTTTATAATAAATAACTTGATATAATATGTCGATGAAAATAAAATTTTTAATACCTATTACGACGAAGTATTATATATATATATATATATATATTTTTTTTTTTTTCATAAATCAAATGCAAACGATTTAAATACTTTCGGCAAAATCTGAGAACCAACGAGGGAATCTTCTTCCTTCGTAAGTATCGCGTGAAAGAATAGCGAACGGGTAATGGTGGTTCGGGGATTGAATTTTGAGGGAGGAAGCGAAACGCGGTGGAGAGGCGCCAAAAAGAGTTTGAAACTGCGCGGGCGCCCCTATATTATAAATATCAGGCATGAAAGATGGCGCAGACAGCAGCAGGGAGGCCGCTATGCTGGGGACGCCTGGGTAAAGGAGTGGAACAGAACCGGAATTAGCATAATCAGAATAATTTCCACCAGCTGACAGCGCCCTCATTCTTTTTCCTGCGACGCGATTCTTCCGCTGCTTTATTTCCCGTTGTTTTCCGCCTTCCGCTCCTTTCCTCTCACTCCTCGTTCCCAACTTTCTCTTTCTCTCTCTCTCTCTCTCTTTGTCTCTTCTACCCCCACCCCCCTCCCCACCCTTTTACTTCGGACTTTCTCGCTTTTCTGTAAGCTCTTTCGTAAACCACATTCGGTGCATTCCATTTCGACTGGAAGAAGAAACACACGACTCATTCGCCATCTATTTTATTCAGTGAAATAACACAGGAAGTCCTAGCCCCTTTTCCAGGGTCGCGCTAAGGGTGATCGTCTCTATTCGACGGAAACGAATTATTCGTGGGTGGTTAGGCGAATCCGTAAGACTTGGGCTACTTGTTGCTAAGCACGATCTTATCCATTTAGAGTTTCTAAATCGGGAATAATAAATATTACGTACGAGATATCTAATCCATGTACAATCATTTTTTTTTTTTTTCTTTTTTTTTCTTTTATATTATCTCATACACGTGGATTAATTTTGTTGATGTACCTGTAATCGTTTGATACGATTCAAATTATTATCATTAAAAAAAATCAAATGTTAATGATAATAAAATAATGGTAATGATACTTAACACTTTTCCAAATGGATTTTAATCAATGAAATGCAATCGAGTTGGTCAAAAAAGGAATGATTGCAAATGATTTTCTATTTGCAAGTTCCATGTTGGATATTTCAAAAGATGAGAGACAGACGAGGCATGTACTTTGAAAGTAATGCTTGCATAAGATAGCAAGTTGGAAAAGAGAGAAAGAATAAAGATGGGAAATTTCGGGTAGAGGATGTCGTTTTACCGAGTAGAAGCGAGTATAGCGAGAATTTAATGCCAGCGATTTGTTAGATCGATTTCGCCGGAAAGATGCTACCAGAAAGTTGCAGGTCACGTATAGTTCGGATACTTGCCGCGGTATGGCGCCTTCTGCTGCCCTCTGCTTCCGCCATTCACCTCTACCGCCTCGAGGCCCCCCCTTCTCGAATATATCAAAGTTCATGCGTTTCTACCTAATATCACTCGCGTGCAGGGACATGCTGCCCCTTTCCTTCTTCGTCTCTTTCACTCTCTCTCTCTCTCTCTCTTTCTCTCTCTCTCTGTCTCTTTCATTCTCTTATTCTATCACTCGCTCACTCTCTGTCTCTCTGTCTCTCTCTCTCTGTCTCTCTCTCTCTCTTACTCTTTCTTTTTCCCTTTCTCTCTCTCTCTCTCTCTCTCTCTCTATCTATCTCTCTCATACACCAGGCCACGCCAAGGCAACCAAGTTGCCGCTTCACGTGCCGACGACCCTCTTCTTCTTGTTCTTTTCTTCTTCTTCTTCTTCTCTGATCTTTATTCATTCTTTCGCCTCGCCCATTTCAATTTTTCTACGTTTTAACTGTAGAAACCGACCCCACCGGTTCACTTCCCGACTCCCTTCATTTCTCCTCTCTTCGAGAGAAGAAGAATTCGAATTCGCCATATTATCGAAAATTTCGTAACTTTTTCTATATCTCTTTGTTTCATTTCGATTCAATTGGTTATTACAAAAAGATCATTTTAGAAAAATTTATATACCAAAGTAATCGATATTTTCAACTGTATAAACTATGTACCTGCATATCTACTTGGATGTATAATTCGAGAAAATATTTTTGTAAATTCGCTTATGCGAGTAATGGCCGGGACCTCTTTTAATATTATCCATCCATTATTCATCCGGGATAAAGGTGGAATATCTCTTGGATGTATTCGTGGTAAATCCGAACGGCGAAAAATGTCTGATTCAGATTCAAATGCTCATAGATCCAGGTATGGATCTAGAGCGTCCGTTTCGTGATCTATTGTATTTATTGGTAGAACAGCCACAGCGTATACCGGGTGAAAGCTGTTTATGCAGTTATACCTGTTAACTTATACATCGATCTTACACACTCATATATAACTACACGGAAGAGTATTTCTTATTTTCGAACGGCACCTATGTCAAATTGGTAAATCTAGAATATATACGTATATAATATATGTATGCGTAAAGTTTCTATCAAATGGGTACGTATAAATGTTTACTTTTAACACCATTTTTTCTTTCTTTCCTTTCTTTTTTTTTTTTTTTTCAATTTGATCAGAATTGTTCATATAAATAATTCTGCTAATTACTTATGACATACATTCATTAAAAACAAATGCATCTAATTGTTAATTCGTAAAGTAGGTCTGAAATAAGATATTCAAATATAAGATACATAATTACGATTTAATAAAGAAATGATGACGCTTCGAATCATTCTCTCTCTCTCTCTCTCTTTCTCTCTCTTTCTCAACGATTTTTACCGAAAGAGAAAGCACGGAAGGAACTGTGCGACGTTCGCGATGGACGGCAAGAAATTTAAAACGCGATGTTCCAAGGGAGCTCGCTTTGCTATACGGAAAACGTATTTTCCACGTAGACAGGGAGCGAGAAGGGTAGATGGTTGGCTCAAAGATATGGCAAGGTACGCGTAACTCACTTAAACTTACACACGGATAGATACAGATATACAGAAAGAGAGAGAGAGAGAGAGCAAGAGAGAGAGAGAGAGAGGGAGGAAGAAAGAGAGAGAAAGAGAATGTATGTGTGAGCGCTCGCGCGTTCACTTGGACACACATACGCGCACATATATCGTGCAAGACTTGCCACGTCACCGGCACTCGGATCCGCGTCTATCTGTCAGTTTCCAGTCTCAAACAAGATGGATGGCTGGCGAATGGAAATCATGGTTGAAACCCAAGCTCCCCCCTCCCCTTCCCCGTTCTTCGCCTCTTCCACTTCCTCGCCCTTCCTTCCATCCACCGAGTGTGCCCCTCCATTCTGTTCGCTACCACCCTTATACCTAGAGGACCGCCACCACCACCACTACCATCACTACTACCATTACCATCACTGCTACTACCACCACTACTACCACCCCCGTTATTCCGTACTTCGTTCTCTCGTATCACCTCTCCCTTCGACGTCGTCTCTTCGCGTTTCAAAATACAAATACGCTTTAAAGGTTCTCAAATATTTTTCCTCGATCTCTTATGAACGATGATATATACTTTAGATAACCTTTTTTCTTTTATATTTCTAACATACGTTCTCTTTGTACTTTTCCAATGAATTTTTAAATAATTAGAAAATGTTTATTTGAGACAATAGTTTATCCCAATTTCTATTATTATTTGTTCGCATTGTTATGTATATTATTTTGGTATAATGTATTATTATGATAAAATAAAGTGAAAAATTATACGATATATCATTTTGATTAATACGTATCCACTTCATATTTTAATAATTTAATTATTATACGCGGATACAAGTGATTTTTTTTTTTTCTAGTAACAGTAATCGAAAATCAATATGGATTATATACTTATTAAAATGCAATGCAAATTATCAACGTGTATCCTCGTTTCATGCTTAATCAGGATGTATACACACACACACACACATACACACATACATACATATATACATACATACAGATATAAATACAGATTGATTATAAATTAAGGGTCGGTTGAATATCTCTTTTGTTAGAAGCAATAGAAAAAAATATATATTAAGAAAATTGTCATGATATTATGATGCATCAATTATTATAAAAGTACGAAATAAAATGTCGGACTTTCGATGAAATCTGAAGTTTAATGATTTTTCTTATAAAATATTCTCTATCTTTTTTTAATTTAACATATGCTAAAAATTATAACAATAATTTAAAAATTATTAAACGAATATACAGCTAAACTTAATATTTAATAATATATTAGAGTGTATAGCTAACCAACATTATATATTGTTAAATGTACATAAATAATCTATTAAAAAGTTATGAAAAAAAAAAAATGAAAAATCATTCGTACTTGTTTTTCGTACTTTCAAAATATTTAATGCATGAATTCGTGAAATTTTTCTTAATACCTATATCTTTCTTTTTCTATTAATCCCAACAAACAAGATATTCAACTGGCCTTTAATTTACAATATATATATATATATACATTATGTACATACGAGAAAAGTAAAAGTTTTCGATATATTTTATATTAATTAATCGATTAATCCGTTCATGGAAGGGGTTAGAATAAATGTACTTTATCGTTTTCTCCATTAATTTTCTCGAAGCCGATGTTTATATCACATTATTAACGTTCAGATAAGAGTCTAAAATATTTTACGCGTTTATCAACCTAACACGTTCTACGATCTATCAGCGGGAAATGCAACTGGATTTTACGGTACTCGCGTGAGAGAATCTAAACGCATGTCATGCATAACTGTAAACCAAGATTTTTTTTCTTCTGAACTTACCTCTTCGCTCGTTTTAAAGCAAACGTGATTTATTTGACGAATTTGCTGACAGATGTGCCGATTGGATAATTTTAAGGTAATTATCGATAACGTTTAGTTTTACTAATGAGTTTGACTATACTCGTATTAAGAGAATTAAATATTACGTACCTTATGATATTGTAAGATATTGTAAGAATGATGATGGATAAGATTTTCAAAAGATAAATTATTTTATTTCAATATCTTTTACATTTATCATTTATCATTTACATATATATATATATATATATATATATATATATATATATATATATATATATATATGTATAAATCTAATCATTTGATATCTACAAGTTTGAATATCGCAATAAAATAAGATTTTCATTTAAAAATCGGACAAGATAATAAAAAATATAATTTAAATCGACACATTGTTTACATTCATTTATAGATATAATTTCAATTTGAAAAATTGTTCTCTCTTTTTTTTTTTTTACATAGATAGTATTTTGATTTTAATTTAGACAAGGAACAAATAAATAAATAACGTCGATATAAAAAGTAAAAATATAATATTAACATATTAAAATATTAAAAACATACAATACATATTACAACTATACTATAACTATCAATATATACACTATATACAATATATACAAGATAAAATATATAATATATACAACATAGACAATGTACTATACATGCAATATAAATTAAATAATATATAAGATAAAATACAATATAAAATATATAACTCTAAAATTCTTATTATTATGTCATAAATTTAAAAATTGAGGGGTGTTGTCATAATGTTGATCATTTTGAAGATCATTTAATAAGGCGGCTTCCAATTCATTTGTTGTTTTGAGCACACATTGCTCCTGATTGTTCTCTGTTGACCATGTACAAATATTATTATAATAATTGTTTTCATGTGGTCCATCCGGGTTTATAGATTGAATTTTCGTTGAATTATAAAAATGATTATTACCTATCGTTGGTAAAGTTGCGTTGTCAGAACTATGTAGCCATTTGTTGTTTAAATAATAATTTTCCATTGGCATTTGAGACATGTAATTTTCTTGAGGATACGTGGATTCATAGAAATATGAAGATTTTTGAATATAATTAATATTTCCATTTTCCACATATCCATTTTCCATATATCCATTTTCCATATATCCATTTTCCACATATCCATTTTCAATGTATGCTGGTGGATATGATTGCTGATAACCAATTGTTGTTCCGGGGATAGACGGAAAAATATATTGATAGTTAGATATTGTTTCTTCAGTCCGTGTTTTCCTGTTTTTCTTCAACTTGTAACTTCCACTTACTTCATTGTATTGCATCGTATTACATGGATTTTTCAGTATCTCTTCTTTTTTGTACTTCATACGACGATTTTGGAACCATATCTTTATTTGTCTCTCTGTTAAAAATAAACTTTCGGCCATTTCAATTCTTCGCGGTCTGCAAAGGTAACGACCTTTCTGAAATTCTTTTTCAAGTTCAACTAATTGAAAACTAGTATAAGCGGTCCTCGTTCGTTTCCGTTGTTTCTTTGGTTCTGTAATATGACAATAATAATAAATAATTTATAGAAAATCAATTTATTTTATTAAAGAATATAAGAATATTCTGACAGACTTTTATGCTTGTTCTTTTCTTTTTTCTTTCTTTCTTCTCTTTTTTTGTTTCTTCTTTTTCTTTTCTCTTTCTTTTTTTTGTTTTTTTCTCTGATCGCGAATATAATCGAACGAGCAAACGGAATAATAATAATAATAAATACGTAATACAAACAATTGAGAAAAAGAAATGGATCATTAATCATAATAAAATATGAAATAAGAGGATTAAGTCGATGAATTAGTATATTATTCACGATTCGATGAGGTAAATCACGCGTAAGGTAATCGTAGGATTATAAAGCACTTTGGTCCAGTGATGACACGTTTATCGGTTACAAAATACAGTATGGTCGAGCTACTCGAGAGTTATACCACAGGATGTCCTAATAGTCCATTGAGTGCTCCCGTCTCAAGACGAGGCATTTCCTCGTGATACATTATAATCCGACGAGCGGCTCCCTTACCCTTACAACCCAAGCCGACGAATTACTACCCCCTTAGCTACCGAAGTCGACGATCGTGTACTCGTACGTTCTTCTCCGTCTAATTGCTAGATAAATGATTCGCGTTATAGATTAACTATACGATATTGTCATTCGTATTGAATTTCAAGATATCTATTGACGATTTCGAAATATTTCCGAGTTTGAGCTATGGTAAAAGATAACCTCAAATCTACGATAAAGAGATTGTAATTTTGGGTAAAATTCTCAACTAATTGCTTAACAGGTGATTAGTAAACGCTACGAACGATGTCGAAATATTTCTTTTTCTTGAGCGATAAAAAGAAAAAAAAAAGAAAAGAAAAAAAAAAGAAAAAGAAAAAACAAGAGAGATAGAGAGAGAGAGAGAGAGAGAGAAAGAAAATAGATAAAATATTGATATATATTGGTATGCGGTTTATGTATGGTATGCGGCTAATCTCGTTGCGTTATATAAAACTTTTGAATAAAATATAGTAAAATATAGAGGAAAATGAAACGGAGATTTCAATGAAAAAGAAAAAAAAGAATGATCGAAAGAAAATGATTAACTCTCTTGTTGTCGATTTGTTATTTTTTTTTCTGTCTTTTTTTATCTGTTCAAGGTTGAAAGGTCAATGATCTTAGGAATGTTACTTTCGTTCATAGATCATTTTTAACAGATGATTCCATTTACACGGGTAATGATTTCATCCAATTTACACGAGTCTAATGTCGGGATGTTCAAACAACTCATTGTCAGTAGAAATATTGACTTTCTCGCAAGTAAACAGGTATCCCGCTGAGCGACCTTTGAGAAATGTTTTGCTTTATCAAGTGCAGGAGCTTCGATAATTATGTTACATTAGTTCGTAAGAGATGCTTCTCTTTCTCTCTCTCTCTCTCTCTCTCTCTCTCTCTCTCTCTCTCTCTCTGTCTGTCTCTCTGTCTCTCTCTCTTTCTCTTTCTCGTTCTTTTTTTTTTTTTTTTTTTTTTTGAAAAGAAAATGTTATTAAATTTTTCACGTTAAAAATAGCCAGATTACAAGAGAAATATCGTTTATCATAATTTTTTTAAGATTTAAAATGAACGATATAAAAGAACGAATGAAGTTAGAGAAGAATAAAGATCAGAATTAGATTTAATTATACCAATAAATAAATTTATATCTATGTACCTTGATTACAAGAAGAAGAAGAAGAAGAAGATTTTTTTCTGTTATTCACTTCTATTAATTTTTCTTCTGTTAATCTAGTTTCTTCAGGTTCTAACGATGATATTGGTTGCACCATTTCCCATTGATATTGTTGTTGTTCATATTGAGCAACATTATTTTCGGAATAGAACATACGATTGTCCACGTTGTACTGCATATTTCTTCTCTTATGTTTCTTCTTATTGATTAGTGAAACCAAAGTAAAAACGCGTCACGAGAAATGAACTGTTCTAAAAACACTAATGCTCTTTCAGAATTCCTTCGAAATTTATATTTTTGTAGTAGATAGAGTTCGACCAATCAGCTTCGGTCGGTTTCGAAGATTGACAAAACCCTATTGTTCTTAGGCTCCTCCTACCTATACATCAGGACTTTCCGAACTAAAGTACACTCGAAGCAAGACAGGTACATTATGTACATAGATGTGAATAAATACAATATTTATTATTCCTTTCGTTTTTTTTTTTTTAAAATGAGTGTACCTAGTAACACACATCTCATTTCTTTAATGTAAACACCGTCGCCGATCTTTTTTTCGATTGATTTTAGAGATACACACTCGAGTAAAAACGTTTTCACTCGTATAGTTTTTATTTTCTTTGTCAATTGTTTTTATATTTTTCAAAAAAAAAAAAAAAAAAAAAAAGTTGCCTGCGATGTACCCCAAGTATGTTTAGAATTGTTGTATACATTAAAAAAAAAAAAAAAAAAAAAAAAAAAAAAAAAAAAAAAAGTTACTATATACAAATACACGTAACACGTGTTATTTCAAATAACAAATAAATTTCTTTATTAATATGTATGATAATTCGTGATAATATTCTTATGCATATAAATAAATATAAACTGTGGGATATTTTTTTTCTCTCTCTCTCTCTCTCTAATCTCCAAAGGAAAATCCTCGTTTCGTTATTTTTCCATACACGCGTTCGATCTACGCAAGAAATCGGGTTATCATCCGAAAAAAATATGTATGGCCTCGGGCATTCGTTTGTCCAACATTCAACGGCAATAAACCTTGGAAGATCTACAAATGTGTTGTATGTTGAAACGTGTAATTATAATTCATAATATTTCATTTGATTAAATTCATAAAGGAAATATGTGTATTTGTATACACATTATACACACACACACACACACACACATATATATATATATACATATAGGTATGTACATATATATGTTCAAAATTCGCATACTAAAATATTTAAATAAATTCTCTATTCATATCATTATGTAAGACGTTCTATTATTATAAGAATATAAACATCAAAACATCAAGAAGAGAGAAAATCGCTGTTGATAGAAAAAAAAAGGAAAAAAGAAAAGAGAGAGAGAGAGAGAGAGAGAGAGAGAGAGAGAAAGATTGATCAGCATCATCATCTGTCCAAACATCTTCGGACCCCAATGGGAGATATCCCACCTCCTAACCACCCGAACGATTCTCCTTTTTTCTCTATTTTCGTTTCTTCCACTCGCTATTCCTTCTTCTTGGAATCAGCCATTCTTCGATTCGTGCAAGGAGCTGTCTGCAGATCCGCACCAACGCTTTTCCAACCCTCGTCGCACACCCTCCCACCGCTATCATCCCCCCTGCCATCCCAAGAACCCTTACTATCCCAGTCCATCCATTCCCCTCCCAACCAGTTTCCTTCGCCTGCATAGCCAGCCAACTTTCTCTTACTTCTCCATTCTCTCTCTCTCTCTCTCTTTCTCTCTTTCTCTCTCTTTTTCTTCCGCTGAACGTCCTCTTTTTCTACGCCGAGTTGTTCCGTAGACAAAGATCCTCGCTACGAGGAAAAAGAAAGCTGCGGAAAGCTCGGCAAGAACGATGAAACGAACGATGAAAAAGAAAAGAAAGAGAGAGAGAGAAAGAGGGAGAGAGAGAGAGAAAAGAAAAAGAAGAAGAAGAAGAAGAAGGAAACTCTCTTTCTCTTTCTCTCGATGCTTCTTTCTTTCGCTAATTCCTTTCTTGCAATCAACTTTTTTCCTTGCGAGATCTCTCGCGTTCTTTCCTTCCTTCCGTTCGTCACGCTAAACCAGCCTCTTTCTTGATATTCGACTTACGATTGGTTCGTCCGATGGTGCTGTTGTTGAGATAAAAAAAAAAAAAAAAGAAGAAAAAAGAAGAGAAGAAAAAAAAAAGAAAATATAGCAAAATCATCTCGTTTGCGTTATACGATTTATTCTCATCAGCTTTTATTATTGAATTTCTTCAAACCTCTAACATTATCTTTTTTGTTCTTCAAATTTAGAATAAAAAATTATTATTTGATTTATTATTATTTCATTGCTCAAGTTTTCATTGCTCAATTGCGCCAAACGCAATTTCGTTTTTCTAATGAATCGTACATTTAGCTGAAACATTGTATCTGGAAAATCTCGATAAATGCGTAATTGATGTAAGTACGTAACGAAGATCGACTAAGTTTGATAAAACATAGAAAATACGTAATATCGTAACGGTTAATGACATAAATATCTGTTCTCTTGATAGATCTTCCTTAGTACGTTAATTTTTCAAGCTTTGTCATAGATTAGTAGATATACTATGGTAACAATTCCATACCTAATCTTCTTTACTGAATGAAAGTCAAAATGTCGTAAATTACCGAGAGTTTTGCAAAAGCAGGATTGTGAAAACTTGAAAATTACAATTTCAATAATCAGATTAGATTATATTTAACTAACAAAATATTTTATTTAAAATCAAAGATTTATCTTTTTAATTAAATTCAGAAACATTGAAAAATCTTTTTCTTTTCCTTTTAATAACTTTCAAATTCGAAGAATTATAACTAGAATCCTAATCTTTCTTCTAGTATATTACTGAGATCTTACTTGATAATTTTGACTTTAGTTTCTTTTCGATTTTGACTAATATATGAGATTTCTAAAATATCGATAGAACTTTATATAATAATATCATATTTTTGAACATTTTGTTAAAATTTATAAATATTAAAATAAAATTTCATTGAAGATTCCATCTACAACATACCGTGACCGAAATTGATATATATACAGGATAAATTGTTTATTTAAAAAAAATTGAAATATATCGTGAGAGAATGTAGGAAAAAATTTGTTTACAAATTTGTTTTTGGTATAAAGGTGGACGTGTGGATAAATTTGAAAGTTCTGAAGAAATGTAAGCTTATATTCAGGTATCAAGTTAAAAAAATTATATCCAGCAATCAAATAATAAAATGCAATTATGAGATCCTTTACAATTGTTCTATTTCTAACTCTTTTTTCGTTCCTTTTATTTTTCCTGTCCAAATCCTACAAACTTAAGATATAATTTATAGTCCTATAGAATTTCTACTAATTTCAAATCTAGGTAATATATGTTATTTACGAAAATATTCCTTTCCTTTTGTTAATATAAGAGACATAGGTATTTTTCAACCACAATTTTCCAAAAACATATATATATATATATATTTATTTTCAATACAATTTTACATTCAACAATATATTATATTAAAAATATATTATATTAACAATATATTATATTACAAAGAAAGAAAATCATTTCTCTTCTTGATCAGCAATATCAAATCCGCAATGATAATAAATTTCTATTGTCAAACGTGAATCATTTCATTTGTATTCTTTCTTTATGTTGTTTTTTTTTTTTTTTGTTTTTTATTATTATCAAAGAAGCGATTTCAAGGTATACCGATAAAGACAATGGCGTTTTCCTTGGAAAACGACGGAAATCCAGGAACGGTATCCTCTACTCGACGGCGTGTAACATATGCTTTTATCTAAATTAAACAGTGTCGGCGCGATTTTCATTTCCTGGCCTGAAGCCGGCGCTGATGTTATCCGCAGGATAGCGCGTCGCGAGAGCGTTGCTAAGGGTCGGGAAAGGTTTACCCGGCCACACCGAACCACCAAGTACCACCTCTCTCTCTCTCTCTCTTTCTCTCTCTTTCTCTTTCTTTCTCTCTCTCTCTCTTTTCAACCTCACCCCACATCTCAGTATATGGCTCACACCACGTTTTACCCCCTCGAAACCACCTCGCGTCCTTTCCCTTGTCCTTCTTCTTCGAGCATCGCCTTACTCAAGCATCTCTCTATGCACGTTGCCTTTTATCTCCCCATATTCTAACCAATCCCTTCATCCCCTACTTCCCTTCCTGATGTCGTCCGTCTTACTCTCATTCCATTTCTCCTTCTCTTTCTCTCTCCCTAAATATATATATATATATATATATATATATATATATATATATATCGCTCTCTCCCTTTTATCCCTCACATCGTCACCGTCTCGTTTTGTTTCGCATTTAACTGTTTAAGGACCGATGTTTATCGACGCCCATAAAATTACCTAAACTGCGCGTCTTATGTAAGGAAAGTTATCACGCAGTGGACACTTGCCTTTTTTACTCTTTCTTTTTTTTTTTTTACTCTTTTTTTTTTCTTTTTTTTTCTTTTTAATTTTTAGGTCATCACTCAAGACGTTGCAAATAATCGTTAACTAGACATTAAATTTCGTCGATATTATTTTAAATATTTATAAGATCTGAATGTGTCATATTTTTAATATAAGTTAGATGTATAAAATAATATACGTAAAACGTACGAACGTATAAATTTTTCTTTATCATTTGTTTAGAAAATATTATGAAACGTTAAATGGGGGCATATCGATTTGTGCAAAATCGATTGATTCACCACTTTCTAAATGTCAAATATAATATTAATAATAATAACCATTACCATTATATATGTGTATATATATATATATATATATATATATATATATATATATCGGATAAATATCGTGAAATTTTTCTACAATCATCGGAGATACATTTGATAGGTACATGTTTTAAATTAGTTTTCGAAACTTCTAATACAATGAATATCAATGGGATAGAAAATTTGTAAAAAATAAAATTTAATTATTAAGATTACATTAGTCGCGCGGGCAAACGTTCAAAGTCCTTTCATCTTCCCACTTTCCCTGTCCCTGTCACTCTCTTGTGTGTGTACCGTCCAACCACCCTACCCTCTCCTCTTACCTCTTCCTGACTTCGGGGGCAACCCACAGTCAGACCCCGTCAAACTTTCAGATTACATTATACAAAAGCGGAGATACGGGTCTCCATTTCCAAGCTCGTATCTCGTCTGTATACG